CCCACTTTCTCAAAAATGCTGGAGGTGGGGCTGTGTAGGAGCCGAGCTCTGCCAGTCAGCCTGGGCCTTTGTCTTCTGAGCACCACGAGGGGGTGCTGGGGCCTACTATCTTTTAGCACTGGCTTAGATCCTTTCTCAGTGCCTAGGCTTATCCTGAGTGGGAAACAAAATTAGAGCAAGGGTGGCCTCTGGCCTCTGGCCTCCCTTCTGTCACAGGTGGATAGAGCCCAGGGGAGTCATTTAAATGCTAAGATGCTCCAAAGGGATTGAAGGGGCTGCAGACACACCTGCTGCAGCAGTTCCCAGAAGTCAGAGGTCATGGCCAGGCAGGAGAGGCCTGGGCAGAGGAGGCCAGTGAGACCCACTGCTCTTTCCACTGGAGAGGGCAGAAAAGGAGAAACAGAGGAGGCTCTATGAGAAACCAAATGTCACAGTGGGAGGCCTTTGTGGGGGCACACATCCAGGACATACAGGAAGTGGAAGCCCAGGCTAGATCCCCCTATTGCAAAATTCTTGGGTGTAGTCCCACCTGCCAAGGTTAGTTCCTAGGAGCATTATCTGGGCCACAGCGCCATCTGCAGGGCAGCCCCCCACAGCACGGAGGCTACTGGGGCTGGTCCTAAGAGCTCTTGATACGAGCATTCACAGGAATGATTGTGGGGGACAAAGCCAGCACCCTTAGGGTTCTTAGGGAAGTCACGTAGGCCCCCTTCCCAGCGGCCTTCTAAATCATTCGGGTCGATGTGACCGTACCCGTTTTGTAACTGAGGAAGCTGAGCCTCAGAAAGTTAGAACCTCCTTTCCAGTCGTTGGTAGAACCAGGCAGGATTCCAGCGCAGGCCCTTTGACAAAAAGCTCTGTGCTCTCCAGCTTTCCCTCCTGTAGCAGAGGAAAGAGAAGTGTGCATGGTGGAAGGTGAAGCAAAAATCTGCTGGTTGGAGGGGTCAGAGAGGCAGGATTTGTGTCCTGGTTCGGTCACACTGACCCTCAGAGAGGACCCTCCCCACCCCAGCCGGGGAGAGCAACACCCCCAGATGACCCATCCTCTTAGGTCTGTCAGCAGAAAATTGAAGTGCTTAAAGGGGACTATCGAGGGGGGTAAGATGGATTTTTACATGTCTCAATAACTAGTAAGATACTTGAGAACATTCTGTTTGCTCCTTTCAGTGCCCATCCCAGCCGTGAGCCCTTGTCAGCCAGAACCAGGAGGCTGAGGGCTGCCTACCCTACTGAGGGGTTGGCTAACTTCATCCATTTTTCTGAAATTTGAAACCTATAGTTTTCTTGTTAGTTGGCCATCCAAATTCTTGAGCTCATGTTTAAGTGCCATAACACAAAATGAAGCAACCTAATCTGGTTTTCATTGATGGTTGAGGTTCTCTTAGCTATCCATTGCTAGGACCTATGAGGGAATTTTGCGAAAACATAGTCCCTTATCTCAAAGAGTTGACAGCACAGTGGGGAAGATATATATAAAATGTAAGTATAACAAACACAGACTTTAAAGGCTAGAGTTTTTTCAAAGCAAGAATACCAGGGAAGAGATAGACCACTGTTTAAGGCACATGACGTGATGTTTATAAAGACTGAAAAAAAGTTCAAGCCTTCTTTCTCCCAATTTTCTTCCATTTCTTTTGTTAAAGAGAATGATCTTCAACCTGGGAAGGTTAACAAACATGATTATGGGGTAATTGGGATCCAAGACAGATGATGCAATGCTGGAGGAGAGCCCTGCTGCTGTACATGAGCTCAGTTCTCCTGATTCCAACTAAAGATATCCAACGACTTTCCAGTGTGATCGTAGAACCCCTACTGGTAAATATCCTATGAAATCAGGAAGCTGAGAGGTGTGTG